ACGGCATTCTTTGACACATTTCCATGTCCTCATTCTCATATTTTGGATGTGTTTAACAGAGAGCTTTAGCCACCCAATACATTTGTGTAGCTTTTATATTATTTAGTTATTTTACAATAAATACTCCCAATTTAACCAGTGTCATTCATGTTTGTGTCTGAAGGCTAAAGCCTATCCAGGTTCAGCACCACAGTCCAGACCTTTCCCTACCCTGAATAGAGTTCTGTTAACCCTGTGAAAGGTGAAGGATAGGAGCTAGAAGCTACGTCTCTGAGTGAAAAAGTGAATTTGACTTTTCCTCCACAGCATTTGATATTTGGAATGTAAAATCTATATCAAATGGTAATAAATTAAGTTGTATTGTGTGTTTTAGGACCTAACTTTTTATACTAGAGCAAGCCTAGAGCAGGCTGAAAAAGACAACAGTTCACAAAGGATCAACGTATATAGGCCTGGCTTAGATTAAGTCCAGACTTAAATAGTTTTATTCAAGGTTTTATAGGTTCATCTGTAGAGATGTTAAAAAGAAAAAAGTAGCAAAGCTGTTTGGCAGGTAACAGGTCGTTGATTGGTGTAATTAACATCAACAGGAGACTCATCTTGGTGCACGTTTTTTATAACTAGTATCATTTTAGTTCTAATATTTTATTTGCAACCATCAGAGACATGAGGACCATGAAGTGTAGCAACCATCCTGATCACAAGTAAGCTTCAGTTAAAAGTCTGCAGTAGATTCCAGAGTTCCTCTTGTACTTGTTGGAGATTATAGAGATAAAAAATAAATAAAAAGTTTAAACTCTCCTACTCTCAGTATGTTTTAGTAGAGGGAGGATTTAGCGACCAACATACTAAATTACATAATGCTTTACACATCCTGTGGGTTGGTGTTCGGAGGCAGGCTGCTGTCCTTTCAGCACCACCACCTGAGCTCCACCGAGTCACCGGCAGAGACGCTTCATGGTTCGGCTTCAAACCGAACCAGGCCCTGTCCGGCTGGTCACGACGCGACGGAGAAAATAAATAAATAAAAAAAGGAAAATAAAAGGTGTGTGGGGGGGGGGAAACACGCAGACACACGTGCGAAGGACTCAAAAACACAATGAGTTCCAGCGCCTCGCATCCCGCCGCGCGTGAACGTGTCTTACCTTGATCCTAACATAACAATGAGTTCCCAAGGACGTGTCATTCAGACAAGCCGGGGGAGTTTCACGGACCCCCCACTGGAAGGTGGCCGTGGGCCTCAGCACGATGTTCCAGCAAAGTTTCATAAGCGCCGCGGTGGCGCAGAGAGCGCAGTAACCATAAACCAGCGACCAGTAGCCCCAAACTCTGATCCTCAGCGCCAGGCTGAGCAGACACAGCAGCAAGTTGTGGAGGACTCTCGCCATCTTCGCATTGCCGCAGGAAATCGATCCGGGTCTCGTTGCTGATTGATCCCCCCCCCACCCCGGCTGGTGTTGAACCTCAGCTCCGGCGGCGCCGTCCTCCCGCTACCAGCTCACACACAGCACTGTCTGAAAGGGAGGGTCCCGACACAGCGGCTGAATGGGACGGTGGCACGAGCATCACGTCAGGTTTCACGCTTGCGTGTGACAGCGGCTGCGGAGGACAATCAGGTCCCTTCTTTGTTTTCGACCTTTTTCATGGCAGCCGATAAAAAAAAAAAAAAGAAAGAAAAAAAAGAGGGCGATGCTTTCGGCTAGAAGGAAAAAAAATCACTGCAAAGCGGCAAGGCATCATGGCGCTGCTATGGCAACAACGCCGCAATGACAACACAGCCTGCGTGCTCAGAATGCGATCAGCTGCTCTTATGAGCAAGGAGACAATATGCTGTGAAAATTATTTTCAGTAATCAAAGGGGTGAACTATAATATAGTTAGGATTCAAATCTTAATTTTTTTTTCTTCCAATCACTTTTATGCTCACAGCAGCTGGATAGGACCAGATCCAGTTCAGGGTCAGTCTACACCAACAGGAAAATAAACACAGTATCTGTATTTTCCATATCAATAAAAATCTCATTTTGGGTTTGGGAGTCGTTTAGCTTCTTTTATTAGCCTGCAATGCCCCATACCTATCTATGTGCCTCATACCTAGACAGGTATGAGGCATTGCAGGCTAATAAAAGAAGCCAAATGACCCCCATTCCAAGGGGGTGGACCCTTCGTCTGTTTCAATTTGCATGTTTTCAAAACATAAACAAGGCTTTGTTGTGCCGCTGTATCAGGGTTTATACAGGAATTAGTAACTCTAAT